AACCGCTTGAGGCCAGGGCTTTAGCCTGCTCAACATAATGAAAGCCCATCTCTACAAAAAACTTTTTTAAAGATTAGTCAGGCATAGACGCTTGTAACTCCAGTCCTGGTTACATGAGAGATGAGAGGGTGAGGCAGGCAGGAGAATCACTTAAGCCCAGAAGTTGGAGACTTCAGTGAACTATGATCAGTACCACTGCACTCCAGTCAAGAAGACAGAGCAACATCCTCTTATTTAAAAAAAAAAAAAAAAATTGGTATTAATCCAAACTCAATTTTTAGAAATTAGGATGTTAATTGAAATCCCTAGAACAGTCCCTAAGAAAAACTGAAAAACTTCAACATGGTACACGAGAAAATACCTATTAAACACACACAAGAAGGCAGTAAGGGAGAAGCAGAGGAACAAAAACAGATATGACACAAATAGGAAATGAATAGCAAAAAAGCAGAAGACTTTCCTTATTAGTAATTATGTTTAAGTACAACGATTAGCAAGCATTTAAAAAGAGTATCAACAATTTTCCATCAACAAGGGATTCATTTTAGTTTTAAAGACATTAATAGGTTAAAAACATAAGCATGGAAAAAGATATTCCATGTAAATAATAACCAATAGAGAGCTGCAATGGCTACACTAATATCAGATGAGACTTGAAGACAAAAATTGCTATTAGAGACAGAGAAAACAGGAAAGAAGAGTCAAAATACCAAGAAGATAAAACACTTATGAACGTGCATGCATCTAGCAATAGATTTCCCAAAATACATGAATCAAATACTGAAAGAACTGAAGATAAAACAAACAATTCAACAATAAACAGTCAAACCTTCAATACCTCCACTTGCATAATGGTAAGAAAGAACAAATGAATTTGAAAGAAGAAATAGAGAAATTCAATGAAACAAAGAATCTATTCTTTGAAAAGGTAAATAAAATCCACAAGCCTGTAGCAGAGCTGACAGAAAGAGGGATGATACCAATGTTCAACATCAGTAATGAAACAAAGGGTAGCACTAAAACTCTGTAGACATCAAAAGGATAACAGAAGAATACACTAATAAATTACTCACATAAATTTGACATCTGAGACAAAATGGACCAATTCCTCTAAAAGCACAAACTATCACATTTCACCCAAAATAAAAAAGATAATTTGAATAGCCCTATAACTAATAAAGAAATCGAATTCATAAATTACAAATTTTTCACCAGGTGTGTTGGCTCACACCTGTAATCTTAGCACTTTGGGAGGCTAAGGCAGGAGAATTCCTTGAGCCCAGGAGCTCAAGACCAGCTTGGGCAACATGGCAAGACCCAATCTCTACAAAAAAATTTAAAAATTAGCTGGGCATGGTGGCATGCATATGTAGTCCCAGCTATTCAGGAGGCTGAAGTAGGAGTATCACTTGAGCCCAGAAGGTTGAAGTTGATGTGACCCATGTTTGCACCACTGCACTCCAGCCTGAGCAACAGAGTAAGACACCTGTCTCAACAACACCAACAAAAAAAATCTAAAATAGAAATCTCCAGGCCCATATAGTTGTTAGCACATATTTAAAAATCAGCATAATACAACATATTAATAGAATAAAAGAAAAACATAGTAATATCAAGAGACACAGAAAAACAAAAACAGACAAAAATGTTTTCATGATTATAGAACCACCTAACAAACTAGGACTAGAAATGGATTTTTGTCAACCTGATAAGGAGCAACTATGAAAAATCTCCAGGCTAGGCATGGTGGCTCATGCCTGTAATTCCAGCACTTTCAGAGGCCAAGGCGGACTCACCTGAGGTCAGGAGTTTGAGACCAGCCTGACCAACATGGAGAAACCCTGTCTCCACTAAAAATGCAAAATTAGTGATGCGTGGTGGCACATGCCTGTAATCCCAGCTACTCAGGAGGCTGAGGCAGGAGAATTGCTTGAACCCGGGAGACGGAGGTTGCAGTGAGCCAAGACAGCGCCTTTGCACTCTAGACTGGACAACAAGAGCAAAACTCCATCTTTAAAAAAAAAAAAGAAAAAAATAGAAAAATCCCCAACTAATAGTGAAAAACTGAACATTTTCCCTCTAAATCACAAGATGAAAATTTCTTTTCTTGCCACTTGTAATCAATCTTGTATTGAAGGTTCCAGTCAAGTACATTAGATAAGGAAAAGTAATAAACAGCAACCTTATTAAAAAGGAAAAGTGAAACTACTTGCAAATGACGTGATTTTATATAGAGAAACATGAAAGAATCCAAAAATAATAGAGCTAATAAATAAGTTCAGCAATGTTGCAGGATAAAAGATTAACATGCAAAAATAACTTCTATTTCTATATAATAGTAAAGAACAATTTAAAAATGGAATAAAGCAACTTAATTTACAGTAACATCGAAAATAATAAAATGCTTAAAACAAACTCATCCGAAGAAGTGTAAGACTTGAATACTGAAAACTACAAAATAGCATTGAAAGAAAATTTTAAATGCCTAAATAAATAAAACGATTTGGTATACAAGAATTGGAAAGGTCAATACCGTTAAGATGATGGCTTGGTCTACTCAGGCTGCTATAATCAAATACCAGGCTGGGTGCTGGGTGGCTTATCATAACAAATATTTATTTCTTACAGTTTTGAAGGCTGGGAAGATAAAGGTGTCAGGAGATTCAGTGCCTCGTGAGGGCCCATTGCTGATTCATAGACCAGGATGACGGTAAGGCCACCAATTAATCTTCTCGCTGTGTTCTTTCATGGTAGAGAAGTCAGAGAGCGCTCTGTGCTCTATTATAAAAGCACTATTCCTGTTCATGAAGGCACCACCCCGTGAACTAATCACCTTTCAAAGGCCCCATCTCCTAACATCATCACGTGGGAGTTAGGATTTCAACATATGAATTCTGGGGAGACACATTCAGTCTACGGTCAACGGCAATAGTCTTCAAACCGATTTACAATTCCAATGCAACCCTATCAAAATTCCAGCTGTCTTTTTGCTGAAATGGACAAGTGAACCACAGAACTGATATAGAAATGCAAGAGACCCCAAACAGTCAACGCAATCTTGTAAAAGAAAACCAAAGAGGATTTGTGTCTCTTGATTTCAAACTTACTGTAAAGCAACATTAATCAAGACAATGTGGTACTGGCCTAAGGACAGACATACAGATCAGTGGAGAAAGACTTGAGAGTCCAGAAATAAACCAAAACATCTATAGTCAAATAATTTTCAACAAGGGTGTCAAGATCATTCATTAGAGAAAAAATAGTCTTTTCAAAGAATGGCGCTGAGACAACTGGGTCTCTACATGCAAAGGAATGACTATGGACTCCAACCTAACACCATATATAAAAATTAGCTCAAAAAGTAATGTGACTTAAATGTAAGACATAAACTATAAAATTCTTAGAAGGAAACATAAGTGTACTGTGTGATTTTGAATTAGGCAATTACTTTTTAGATGCAACATCAAAAACACAAGTAACAAAAGAAAAAAATGATAAATAAGATTTCACCAAAATTGAAAACTTGTTATGTGTCAAAGAATACTATTAAGAAAATGAAATGACAAACCATAAAACAGGAGAAAGTATTATGTATTCTGAATACTTTATCCTTACCAGGTGGATAAAGTATTCAGAATACATAAAGAACTCCTACAATTCATAAGAATACAAATAATCCAATTTAAAAATGGAAAAAGGGTTTAAATAGACATTTCTCCAAAGATACACAAATGGCCAATAAGCACATGAAAAGATGCTCAAAATCCTTTTAGCAGAAAATCAAAATATTTTAGCATCATTTAGTTAGTCATTAGGGAAGTGCACAAGAAAACCACAATGAGAAACGACTTCACACATACTAGCATGGCTATAAACAATATTAATAAATGGAGAATGATACTTGGGGGAGATGTATAGGGACTGGAACTGTCATACGCTGCCAGTGGAAATGTAAAATTCTGCAGCCACTGTTGAAACAGGTTTGGCTGTTCCTCAAAGAGTTAAACAGAGTTAACATTTGTTCTAGCAATTCCATTAACTAATGAATGGATAAACAAATGCAGTATATCTATAAAATATGTATTATTCTGCCATAAAAAGAAATAAAAGTACTGACACATGCTACATGGATGAGCCTTGAAAACATTATAATAAGTGAAAGAAGTCAGAAACAAAAGATCACATATTGTACAATTTCATTCATGTAAAATATCCAGTATGGGCAAATCCATAGACACAGAAAACAGATTCTTAATTGCCGGGAAATGATAGGAGGCACACATTGGGAGTGACTCCTAAAAGTTAGGATATTTCTTTTTGTGGTAATGAAAATTCCACTATCTGGAATTAAATAGCGGTAATGGTTATATAATATTGTGAATATATGAAAAACCACTGAATTGTATATTTTATGTAGTGACTTATATGTTAAATTTTAACAATAAAAAATTGCAAAAAAATCATTTTAAAATTGAATAGTTCTCCCCAAAATGCATGTATAAACTGAATCTTATTTTCACACTCCCTTGATAATGTCCCAAATGTGTCAGGATGTTAGCATTTTTGGAAATCTTGATTCTGATCCTCTCTCTACTACTATGTACCTCTCTTAACTGGCAGAGGGCCTAGACTCTCCTTTCTGTATTAAGCATCTTAAATTGTGGAGTTTTGAAGGAACACCGCCTAAGCATCCTTGTAAACACTAGTTCTTCTAAATTCCACAATTCAAGATGCTTAATGTTATACGGGTATAGATGGATAAACAGCTGTTAGAGAAACATATGTAAAAAATATAGTAAGAAACGTTTTCCTAATATCAAACTAACTGCTCTTTCACAGACTAGAATACTAATTCATTTTGTCAAAATTACATGTAAATAATCTGCTCAATAAAGAGTATTTGCTTTAAACTGCATATATTTACTGATTTTTGTATTTCAAACCTTTTCTATATTTCCATATTCTAAACCAACACTAACATTCTATCAATAAGAACTTACCCTAAGCATAGGGCCATTTTGAAACACATGTGGCTCATCACAAACCACACAGTATTCATTCAATACAGGGATCCGCTGTTCAGCAAACTCAATTGTCTGAATAAAACAGTAAGGAAAAATAAGTCAAGCTCATACATGATTTAAAAACCCAGTAAGAACCAAAATATTTCTACAATGGATAGAGTTTTGGCTCATACCTGCACCAGGAAGCCGCGGTCTCGTATTGGAATGCATTTTGCACCATTTGGCTGTAAAAAGCAAAGTAAAAAAAAACGCAATTTTTTTAATTAAAAGATGTATAAATCACAGTCTTTTACTCTTTGCAATAGTGAATACAAAAGTGATCTAAGATCACATGAAATATGAATTGAGTCATTGGTGATGACATCAAGATTTAAAAATGTTTTTATTCACTCTATTATAAATACCCTTTTCTACCTTTACCAATGCAATTTTTGCCTACAGTAAATGAATAGCATTCTTAGTTGCTGATCTTCTAGCAAAAATGACTGGCACCTTTACATGATCAAAAAAAAAAAAACCTCATTTCCTCTGTTACTAATCAGCAAATGCTCATCTCTCTTTATTAGGGAACTTCAATCTTATTTTACAATCAGATACAATTATTCCTCCAAAGAAATATTAGATAGCTACTGAAAGTGTCATAATAGAAAACTACGTATTATGCTTAGCCATATAAGAGGTCATTAAGGCATTTTCTTTCACAGGATATCTGAAATGATCTTTCTTGGATGAAATTAACATGGGAAACATTCCACTATGTAATTGTTCTACATTATTTTCTCTATGTCCTTAAAACTTATCTTTGAGTAGGAATGGGCTTCTAGGATGCTCATGTGAAATTGACAACATACTCAAATTTTCATAAAATCAATAGACAGTGTAGTTTACAATTTAAATTTAGAAATAAACCTATATAAGAATAACATTACTTTCCTAAAATAGTATCTTATTTTTTGCAATTTCATCTCTTGCTGAGTGAATACACATTAATGGTTAGAGCTAAACACATACCCCAACAAACACACATATATATTTAGCAAAAGGCAACAAAACTTTTCATCAATTATTTTGAATATATTAATAATATACATAAGATAGGTCTATGCATTTACCACTAGCATGAAAATTGGCTATCATGCCAATCATGCTAGTGATAAATTTTGCATAAGTTATTCTTGATAAATACCATCATAAGGACTAAAATTATTAAAGTCATCTCCTGATCCCACGTTCCCCAAAAACAGCTCCAGCATAAAGTGACTTCAGTATAGAATGGACACCAAGAACAACTTTCAGTGAGGCTCTGGGATAAAGTGGTAAATGCTGCCTCTCTCCACAGGTAGCCACATGCATGAGCAAAGTTCTCTTACATATAATTGAAAGGAAGTTGCTCTTAATTTATCCACAAGAAAAAATGTGGTTCTCCACTACTCATGTGAGAAGACCAGCGATTAGATACGCCTACTTAATAGAACACTAAAATTACATGTTTGTTTAATAAGTAAAGACTTTGTGAATTCAATGCACTTCCTTCTGTTTTTAGTAGCATTTGCTGCCATGATGAGAATTTGGGCTGGACCTCAAATCAGTAGCTACATTTATTTTTTTTTCAGAATCAAAACTGACATTTCAATGCCAGTTGCAAATATGTGGTAGGTAAAACAATTTCCAAAAAGGAAAAAAAAAAAGGTAAATTAAAACAAAGTTTTGCTTCATTTCTCCACCAGATCTTATAAGAAAAAAAAAAAAAATTCTACTGCACCTTAGCTAACATTTAAGAACTCAAGATGAAAATATTTACGCACAGCAGGCTGAGAAGATGAAGATGAAGATGGTGTTAGGATACCAATAAGCCCTGAGGTAAGAGAGAGCCTCCTGCCCTCTGCATTAGGTTCCTTGAAAAGCTCCATTTTGGATGACTTGGGGGCACTGGAGTAGGACTTGCTGAGCAATTTGTGATTTTTCAGTCCATACAATTCTTCCATTCTGAGATTACTGGAGTAAGACCTGCTTAACAGTTTGTGGGGCTTCAAGTTTGTGTTGTGCTCACATCGTGGATCTCCAGAACAAGATCGAGTCAATAGTTTATGCGACTTTAGAGTGAGGCATTCCTCTGACTTAACAGCTGCAGGGCAGGGACGGTTCAAAAGTTTGTGCGATTTAATTGTCATAGCCTGCTCAGCCCTGGGATCGCTGGACAGGGAGCGGCCAAAGGTCCTGTGTGACTTTGTGGCGCACACATCATCCGTCTTCACTGTGCTGGAACAAGTCCTCCGCAGCAGCTTATGCGTTTTGGAGATTCCATCCTGCTCAGATTTCAGTTTGGATTTGCTTTTACCACAACCAGGGGGAGGATAACTTGGCGACCTTCAAAATTGAACAAGAATTAATACAGGGCAAATCACAGGTATAGCAGACCACGAAGAATGCTTGTCATGCTCCAAGTCAACCTGACTGTGCTATAAATGTTCTACCACCTCATACTAATATGGCCTACTCAGTCAAAAGTGAAACCAAAGGTATGTGCAGAATGATTACGGGACTTGAATCCCATTTTTCCTGAAAAGCAAAAGAAAGATTCTAAGATGTTTTTCCCTCCTATCTATCCCACAGCCCTGTAATGAAACTAATTTTGGTAGGAAAAACTCTAGGTAATTAGAAAGCAAAGAATTTAATTTTAGAAAATTTAACCAATGTTAAATAAATATTAATAAAAACTCAAGACATACAAATGAATATGTTTTTGATGGAATGCATCTAACTCAGTCTTTTCTTCAAAGTTATAAAGAAAGCTACTATAGAAGGAATGCTGTAAGCACGAACTATATCACACACTCAGCATTTAGTAAGATAATGATGAAGTTGCCTGTTACCAACCTGCGCAAAGTAGAAAATAAATGCAGGGGAGACTTCACTTTCTTCTCTGACAACTTTTTATTGTGCAGGCAATTGGATTTTTCTTTGCTCTGTTTCCACTGCTGTGTAACAAACGTCTGCATGATTCTGTCAATCCAAAGGTAATTCTGTTATCACCATTCCAAGGCAATTTCAACTAATGTTACTATATTTATTATGTAGAAAATGCATTTATCAAATAAAAATAAACACACAGAAATCAGTAAGATGCTAATTTAGAATAATACTAAATTTTTCACATGTAGGGCAGCATCACATACACATAGGAAATTACCAGAACTTTACTGTGACTAGTTATATCACAGTAAGTGATAATGATTACAATTTATTTAAATTATTAAATTATAATATTACCAGGATATGATAATTCAAATGGTAGAAGAATGAAGATATAAAGAGAATTATAAAGACTGCTTTTAGGATCAACAACTTGAGCTGAAGTGGCCAAAAAAAAAAAAAAAAAATTTAAATTATTTTTGGTGCTAGAAATTCAATTTTTAAGAAATTAATTGTTACTAATTATAATGCTATTTATTAAGATAGAAGTAAAGCTATTTTCCTTTTACTTGACTTGCTTCTATATCTTCTTCATGAAAAGAAAAGCAAAATACAACTATAAAATAATATATAAAAAGAAAACACACAGAACTGGCTCTATGTAGAAATATGTGGTCAGCAAATTTTATCTTCAACACAGCCATTCACCTTTAAATATACTATATTTAAAAAACTGGGTATCCTTAAATTTTAGTTAATATCATAAGGCAGAAGGTTGGTAACTCCTAATCTCAATATTTTCTATGTCAAAATCACTCCCTCAGTGTTTTACGGTAAAGAATTCTGGAATGTCAACTGTGGACTTGGACACAGTGTTCTTTTCTGAAAGAGGTCCCAGGTTTGGATGGTTTCTCTGTTTCTCCATTTTCCACATGACAGTGGCCCTCAACACTAATACTTCAGTAGACACAAAATTTTACAATTAAACATCAAGCATGCAATAAATTAAACATTTTTTCCTTCAAAAATAACTTCAGGATAGCCTGTTTTTCATGCTTTTATCAGTTATTTCTAATACATTGCTTTGGGATCAGGAAAATGATGCCAATATTTGTTTACCACTTACAATATGTCACGGAGTAAAACAGAAATGTTATATATACATTTTTCCCTTTGATTCTCAGTGTATCCCCAGCAAGTAACTGTTATTCCACACATTTCACAAGTAATGAAATCTGCCCAAGTTAGCATAGGCACAAGTGACAGAGCAACAGTAAGTATCTTTTCAAATATAGGTTTTGATATGTATTACACGTTATTCAAAAAAGACAAAAGTGACTGTTAGCATGAGTCAGTTACTAAGTTCTCAAGATCCTTCAGGTCTTAACAAACTAACTCTGATCACCAGAAAGTATATTACTTAGGCTTTCTTCTGCTAGTTTTGATAAGTTCAAGAGAAGAAACAGTTACATACAGAATTATTCTGGAGTCCTTTTAGCAGTGGAAGTGGTAAGAAAAAGGGAGCAAACTGCAGTAAGGGATGCCATGATTCCAAATTCACAGTAAATTCTCTCAATCAGCACAAGAAACATTTTATTTATTCATGTTTGAATTTTGTTTACCCAAAATTTCAGCAGGTTTTTAATGTAATAATAAGATCATCATTTCTCCCTGTGCCTAATTGGAAATCTCCATTGACACATCTCTTTGTATCAAGCAGAGTTAGATTTTTTTTCCCATAAAAAAATTGCTACTCCTGTGCACCATTCTCGAAGACAGTCAGCAAATGCTTGCCTAATCTTGATAAGCTAAGTGGAACAGAAAAAGAAACAGGTCAAAATGAAATATGACCAAAATGTAAAAATTTTCCCACTTTTATGTTACATTAGGATCCTAAGGTGATCCTAACGTAGATGTGAATTCACATCTAAAATCGGTAATTCTTAAACTTGGATACCCAGGTTTCTAGTTGTTCTTGGATGCAAAAGAAGTTAAGTGTTTTCTTAACATTGACATTCAATGTTGCATTTCATTTCAGAAGTAACCTGGAGGGTACACATGAGCACATTTGATATAACAACCACCTCCTTATAATAGAGAACCATGAAGGGACTTCAGTGTTTACATTTGAGTTTGTGTTTACTATTGCACTGGGACCAAAAGAAGCTACTACCATTGCCAGTGATTGGCTGATGGTAGGGGGAAAAAAAGAAAAAAAATTCAAGGTGAAGTATACATTTGCATCAGGTCAAGAGCAGATGATGTCACAACCAACTATGTTAACAAAGGTTCCAGTGTAGTAGAAAAAAGCAAGTACATAGGGATGACATCATAATTTTTTACATGTTGATTTCAAAACAACTATGTACTAGAGCAGCCAGTATTATATTCAAATTGTGGTGGTATAACAGCTTTAGCAAAACAACATCATAAACCAAATTAATGGTATTAATGTGATTTTCAAGTATTTTATTTTGATTTGCACTTAAGTTGGAAACTGAATTTGGTTTTATAAATGTGGAACTATACATATGAAGAATTTATACCTAATTTTATGTTGTACATATATTTAAGGGAAAACTGAAGATTTGCAATGTCTTCCCTCCTTAGAAACAACTAAGGTTTGATCAGTGCAGATTCAACATAAAGTCATACAAAGTCAAAGATTATTTACATTGTCTGTGATATGCTGAAGCTTTGAATGATACAGTTCCCTATGCAAGACCGACCGCCATATCTGTGTCAGGTCAGCCATGAGAAAATACGTTATGTATTTCTTCTTTTAGGCTATTTTGACTTCACAATCTCTCAATATTCATTCAACTTCAAACATATATTCCATGTCTTATCTCAAGTAAAGGAATATCTAGGATTATATGAGATGCAGATTAGTTTACAGCTCATAAGTACTGGTTTGGGGTCAAATTCTGGCTCTATCACCTTCTCACTGTGTGACTGTAAGTAAGCTGCTCAACCTCTCTGGGCTTCAGTTTCATCACCTAGGAAATGTGATAGTAACAAGACCTGTTTCATAGAGTTGTTGTAAAGATTAAATGTCTTATTATATGTTAAGCATTTAAAATAGTGTACGACATATGATAGTTACTACATAAGCATTGGCTTTTGCTATTGTTAATTTGATTATTCTACTGTTCAAAACGCACCAGAAAAAAATTTTTCGGTGGAAAAGTTATTCAGTAAATAAGAGTGTCTCTTACTAACTAAAAACAAAACAACGGGCCTAGATTCTAAACTTGCCTTCCTAACTTGCTGTATGTTTACAAGAAAATAACCTCTTTATATTTAGTGGGTTTTTAAAAAAAAAATTATTGTGAGGATGAAATTAGATTGTTAAAATTATGGGATTTTAAACTGGCAGTGACCTTAAGGATCATAACCAAATCTAATTATTTATAATTAGGGAAACAAACATATCAGGCCAAAATGTCTCAAGGATCATAAAAAAAATTCTAATACACATTAACAAACTTTCCTCATAGCTAATATTTATCCTTAAAAGCAAGTAACTGTTTAAAAACATTAATCACTTGGAGATATTAATAAAATATGTTATATATGCTCCTAGGTACTTAAACAGTGAAAAAGCCTCCTAGCTTTCTTTAATTTCTCAGAGTTGGTATTATATAGACAATTTCTTTTGTTGAGCCCATATAATGTACTCAGAAGCCATGAAGGGTAGAAAGTTATTTATTCCTAGACTTGCGTGCTTTTGTAATTCTTATCTTATTTTGATCAGCTCTACCCCACTTAAAAAAAAGTTCATAAGTGGCTTGCAGAAGTATACAAAGTAGAAGAGTATAAAAACAAGGGAGGAAATTGGGTGAGAAAAAAAAATCATAGAATAAAAAAGAATGTGTCAAGGTGAAATGGTACCCAACTTGGATAATGCCATCCATGCTCATCATGGAGGCAGGCTCCAGCTCATCTCCAAGACATGTAGAATACAGGCACAATGCAGGAAACAAAATCCAGTCAAAAAGCACAACCAAGTGCTCTGGGAAAGCATGCCTAATCCTAGAATGGAAAGCTGAGAAAATTTATCCTGTTAGTCCTTATAAATGAGAACACTGCACAATATATTATGCTAAACACACATTGTAAATGGAATTTAGTTTTAGAAATGCAGAATTCCAAACATTCGGGGTTTATTATCTAATTTTATATTTGCACATCTTTGAATTCAACACTGGGAATTTATAAGAATGTTTTTTATTTTCAAATGTGGTAAGTACACAACTCACATTTGAGTAGTGCTGCCTCAATTTGAGTCATAAAAACTTGAGAAAACTCTAGAGCCCTGTGATACATACAATCCTAAATATAATATATGTGGCTTCCTACATCAGGCAAAATGACCTCAGTAAGTTCTCTATTTCATATATCAAATATAGTTTCAATATGTTTTCTCTTAAAATATTGCTCAGTAAAAGCCAATATATGATGATGTCAAATTAAAATTCATTAAAATGAAAGTGATCATGTAGGCTGCATCATTATGAAAGGCCTAAACCGTGCTTTAAGTATACAGTGATCTAACGGTCTTTTTTGGCAAACGTACGTTTAAGTTAAATTTACAGATTTGGAGGAATATATAATCCTCTGGGAATTCTCCATAAACACAAATTCTTAAAGCTGACATTAAGTAAAGAATTTATTGTTTATAATCTGATCATGGCAAAGTGAGGTACGTGCCTACATTTTAAAAGTCAGTTCAAATAGGGTGGCTTCATATCTTCTGAAATCAAGTCCCAACTAGACTCTAGGTCTAAAGAGAAAGCTCTAATTCCTCTGTGTGGAAAGCTGCCAAAGGAGACCACGTGGATGGCAGCATTATTTTCTTCAGGGAAAACCACAACCAGCCCTCTTGATCCATACCGATACACAGGCCAATGAGCCCCAAAAGTCTGTGCCTTAGATTACATCAGGGATCATTTGATTTTAGAAAAAGTTGAGAGTCAATTCTTGTGTCTGTAATTTATCAGTGTTCTCTATCTTCTTCTTCTAAGATGCTTTTTTTCTTTTGCTGGTACCATTGTATCCTGGCTCTATCAGTGTTTTCTTTTTCTGTTTTTAAAAAACAGGTCTTTATATAAAATAGACTTAAAAGATAAGAAAACAAAATCAAGTTTCAAACACGAAATAGTTTATTTATAAGAATGTTTCAAAGGGGTAATTATGGGAAATAGGGATATAGTGCAGTAGCCCAGAACCAGTGGCTGCTAAACTGATACCACCTCTGGGCCCCAAGGAATGAGCAGTGGGAGCCATCAATAGAGCCCAGTAAGAGAGAAAGTCATGTAAATGCTGCAGCCTACAGAAGAGCAGCAGGCTTCAGTGGAAGGACTAGTCAGCTTGGGACGACCTCCTAGGCAGGAAACCAGGGCAGTAAGTACTTCCATCTTCCTCTCCTTCCTCCTTCCACTGATCACATTAGGGACTCACAGACACAGAGCCTGTGTCCACACAGGTCAGCCTCCTCAGACAGAGTACAGGGTACTGAAGAAAGAGAGTGGCTCTGGGATGGCAATAGAAGGACCCTGGCCCTGGTGGAAAAGTGAGCCCTGCTGATAAATTTAGCATCAGGATGACTTCCTCTCTTGAGGGACTTGCTTCAAAAAGCTCTTATTGAAGAGAAAGGTCTTTTGTTGTTGTTTTCTTAAAGGAACAAAATGAGAACTCAGTTCTCTTTAACAGAAATTCATTTTTTTACACTTTGGCAAACTTACTTTTTCAGCTGATGTCCCAATCCAAATCGCTCTTTTGTGGAAATCTGAAACACATCAACAGTGGGCACTGGAAAGAAAAAAAAGAGCACAGTCACATATTGACTTGAAACTGAAACTCAACCATCAGCCAGAAGAAGACTGAAACTGCATCCTATATGTACGTATACATATACACACTTAAAAAACGGTACATGCAGACCTAAACAATGCTATTTATACTATATGCACATAGGAGATCATTACTGGTCCTTATATATTAAAGTATAATATACTTATATGTAAGTAAGAATGACCTCCAAAGTAAGAAACAGCTGAACTGGCCACATGTAGGATAGTTAGTGCACTATTTCTTAAGTGGAAGAAAGACAACATGTTTGCATCTACATATATCATTTTTAGAATAAAACAATGAGAGATGAGAGCAAGGCATAGCAGATTTACTTTTCACGTGGTTTATACTTTTACCAGGTGTGTGTGTATATATATATATATTTAAATCGGCAACTAAATATATAAAAATACATATATGTATACATAAATAAATAACTTCTCTCAAAAAAGATGCTCATTTTTCATTAATCACTGGTTTAAAGAGTATTTCTTGCACACTTATCACGCCAGTCATTTCCCACACATACACGAATATTCCTGCACCCACGAAGTCTGAAATCCAGTGGGAGAAGGAAGATGAAAAACAGGTAGAAAAACAGATACAGTGTTAGATGGCAATAAAGGCTCCGGGGAAAAATAAAGCTGGGGAAAGATATATGGGCTGCAGGCTGTGTGGGCTTAGGTTTAAACGTTAGATAAGAACAAACAGGAAGAAAATGTTCCAGCCAGACCAAACAACAAGGACAAAGTCCCTGAGGAGAAAATGGGCTGAAATATTCTAGAAACAGCTGGAGAGGAGTGTGGGGAGAGGACTGAACAAGGTCTCCTGTCAGGGGATGAGAGCAGGGAAAGAGCAGGTGGGGCTGTGCAGGATCGACTGGTCAAAGACCAAAGGGAAAAACAGGAGAATCAGTCAGGAACTTATTGCAATAAGTGAGGCAAGATATACAGCACTTGGGTCCATGGAGGTGATGAACATTTTGGGTTCACACTTCCAGGACAGTGGACAGATTTTGCTGGTGGACTGGATTTGAAGTGTGAAAAAAAGAGGAGTTAAGGATGAATCCAATAATTATGGCCTAAGCAACTAGACCAATGAAATTTACCAGTTCCTATAATGTGAAAGACTGCAGGAGGAACAGGTTTGGAGAGGCAGAGAAGACTAGTTATTTGACCAAATATTTTAAATTTGAGACGCTTATTTGATACTAAAATGGAAATGTTAAGAAGGCAATTGGAGAAGCACACCATTTAGGCGTTAAGGTGAGAGGAATGCACTAAAGATACAAATTTGGAAGAGTAAGAATATATATATATATATATATATATATATATATATATATATATATANATATATATATATATATATATATATATATATATATATATATATATACACACACACACACATATATATATATATTTATTTAAAGGCATGAGGCTGGATGAGAAACCACTCAGTATGAGTGTAGGTGGAGAAGAGAGAAAGGCTGAGGATTAGGCCCTGAGCCCAGTTCAGCAAAGAAGGTTGGGGAGGAATGGCCAAGAGGATGGAAGATTTCAGAGTGCTGCTATCTGGACACAAATTCAAAGAAGTTTTTCAGGCTGGGCACAGTGGCTCATGCCTGTAACCCCAAGGTTCAGGCAGGTGGACTGCTTGAGCCCAGGAGTTCAAGACCAGTCTAGGAAACATAGGGAGACTCTACCTCTATTTAAAAAAAAAATAGCCAGGCATGGTGGCATATGCCTGGAGTCCCAGCTACTTAGGAGGCTGAGGTGGGAGGATCACCTGAGCCTGGGAGGGTGAGACTCCAGTGAGCTGTGATCATGCCACTGCACTCCATCCTGGACAACAGAGCAGACCCTATCTAAAAAAAAAAAAAAAAGAAAAAAAAAGGATTTTCAAGGAGGAGGTAAACAATTGTTATGAAATACTGCTAAGTCAATTAAGATGAGAAATCAAAATAGGGTATGAGTCATTTGACAAGAATGAAGTTACTGATGACACTGACAATGGCAATTTGAAAAATGATGAGACAAAAACCTGACGAGTGGATTCAAAGAGAGAAAAGAAAAAAGAAAATGAAGGAAGCTGATAGAGACAACTCTTATCAAGAAATTTAACAGTCAAAAGAAGCAGAGTATTAGGGTCCCAACTGAAGAGGCATTTTAGGTAAAGAAGGTTTTGTTTACAGTTTTTGTTTGTTTGTTTGTTTTTAAGATAAGAGAAATATTTGCTGATGTGAATCTTCCAGGAAAAAAAGAGAAATGAATAGTACAGGAAGGAGGGGAGAACTGAATTGCTGGGATGGTGTCTTAATTAGGTGAAAGGGAACAGAAACCAGTATGCAGATGAAAAGATGACATATAGGAGCTTAGTGCCATTCACAGCAACAGGTGGGGGAGCAGATAATTAGAGCAAAGATAGTGTTGCTCATAGGACCTTCTCAGATCACAGGTGCTCTATATTGTAAGCCAAATGGTATCCCCCAATTGCCTCACTCCCTCTGTTGGCTACTACTCTGGGACACAAACGCTCCATCAATCAAGGGAACTTGCTGTTTGTATCACCAAAAAGTTAGTTCCTTTCCGAAAAACTCCCTAATCCCTGTACAGAGAGTAAGGTATAGAGTAGGCATCAATCCAATCCCAATTATCCCAAACCCATGGCTATCAAAATTCAAAAGTGAATACAAAAAATTCTAACATTTGGAAAACTTCAGTGGAATTAAATGAGAAAGCACTGTATTTACTCTAAGAAGATTTAAGAAGATACACTGTCTTCAGAGACAGTCAAAAAAAGTGGGAAGATGAGGGCAGAGAAACAAAAGAGACCCAGCTAAAAAATCGTAGAACTCTCCAAAATGCACCGGAGAAAACTGTGTATGATATATACACAGAAAGAGAGAAAGAAGGGTCATATAATACTAGACACAAATGTTTATCAAAAATATACAAATTATTCTTATAAATTAATAATACAAAGATCAAAACTTAATCATACTATGCATGACTAGAAAATAAGTGTTAACATTTATCAAAATGACAAATTTTCTAGAAAAATATACATTTCAAACATTGACTCAACAGCATAAAATCTAAATGAGCTATAATTTTGGAGTATACTAAGGGTCCATAAAATTCCAAAATTTACAAAATTCATAATTTGGAATTCACAAAATATCCCAAAATTCAAGTTCTAAAACATATATTACCATTAAAATAAATGTAATTAATTATATTCAATGTATTAATGAAAGATGTTAATAACCAGAGAAACAGGGGTTGAAGTGTATGGGAACTCTGTACTAACTGCAATTTTTCTGTAAATTTAAAAACATTTTAAATTTGTTTTTAACAATATTTTTAAAAAGTAATAGTTTCTTGATAATAATTCGTTAGAAAATAAAATGAATTACAAAAGTCTAATTATGCAAATAAGTACTCAGGAAAAAACAAAGCTAAAATTAGTGACCTATGCAAAACAAGCACACAACCACCACCAACAACAAAAAACCCAGAATTGTACTGATACTTAAAACTAGAAACTACAAATAAATGTTCTTTTATAAGAAAAGTAAGAACTTGACAGAATGTACTAGTGATATATTTCCATGTTTTTTAAAAAAGTCAAAGTTATTCAATGCTTTCTTCTCTCTCCTTTAACTCCAGTGGGGAAGTGAGGGCTGCCCAAGATAAGTGGAAATTATTCTAATGCACTGATCATGCAAGCATAGAGGTACCAATAATGAGATGATATGTATGGAAATCATTTTAAAATAATGTTAGTTGTTTATCATTTTCAATTAAAAACAGCTTTGTCCTTGAGATGAAAAACTGCATCTCTTTATCAGTAATTCCAAAAATATATTATCATAAGAATGATAAACTATATCACATATTTATTTAAAATTTCCCCATATAAAATACAAATAATCCTTATCTTTAGTTTCAAAGTGGATAAGGAGGTGTATTTCTTCAATTTGTATCATTCCTGTTCACTCACAGATATACTGTCAGATTAGCCATAGCCAAATATTGATGTTTAAATAACTGTTATTTATACATTTCCAAAATTTAGGAATAAATTCCTTTCAAAAGGAGCTGTTAAATAGGTCAGTCGAAATCTTGAATTAGTCATACATTTTTTGCAAGTTCATTTTACTATAAATGCTGATACCTTCCAAAGACACATTGCAAACACTTTTTAAATTTTTTTAAATCACTGAATTTTGTTATTTCAAAAATATTTTTCACAAAAAATATCATCAAATATCAACTTTTCATAAATATCACTGTGAAAGACTTTTGCATTAATTGAACTCACTAGCTATCAAGGGCTAACATACTAAAGGTATTTGTAAGATAAACAATAAAAAAATCCAAAGACAGGAAACACATTAGAAAAATAGTTAAAGGTTTGACAAAGCAACATAGAGAAGAAAAATTCTAAATGGTTAACAGATATTTGGAGAAATTCCAATAAGTAAGTAGAGCTATGTAATTGAAACGATGATGAGTAAGTGCTCTCAGCTCAGATTAGACCAACCCATACAAATTCCACTCTTCATGAATTCACATAAAGTCCATAAAATAAGCTCTTTAAGGACATTCTTTGCAGCATTGATTATGGCATCAGGGATCTGAAGACAATGTAGGTGGCCATCGCTAAGGAAACAAATAGGTAAACTGTAGTGGATCTCCACTACAGTATATATTATAGTAGTGTACCTAGAGCAACAGGGCCAATTTCCATCTGAGGAGCAGAAGTGGTTAAGAGAATAAAATCTATAGCACGGTCGTATTTATGTAAATTTAAAAATGTCTGACAGCACTATGCATTTGACGAGGATATACATATAGGCAATTGCGTTTTGTTTGCTCTCAAACCCATCCCTCATTCTTCCACCTTTAGGCTGTATTTCCACAGGTCCCTTGCCAACTACCTTCTGATTAGGTTTGACTAATGGAGCTCTGGTTGGACTTGAGGAAGAGAATGGAATCAAGGTATTATTTCACTTCTCTTCTCCTCCCATCTCCCCTGTTTCCCTTCCCCCCGCCTTCCCTCTTCTCTCTTCTCCCTCCTATTCCCTCCTCTCTCTTTATCCTCTCCTCTCTGTCTCGTGTGGGCATTTTTTAGCAGTTGCCATATCCTTTCCATGGTCGTGGCTCTTTGCCAGACATGTCCTATTTCTGTGGCCCTAACTCCTACACAGCAACTCTGGACATGGCTCTAGAACCTGTGAGACATCCCTGATGTTTGGATTCTGCCGCATACCATCCCTTTCCCAGTGTCGTTGCAGCCCCAGGGACTGTAGTGATCTCTTGCTGTCCTCTTCCCTAGTGGTCTCCACCTCCTACTCTCTGATGAGCTTCACCATCCTGATTTCTTACCAACTGTTTAACCACTGGTTTAACTATTTTTTTTTAACCTGAGATACTAGAGTGGTTTCTGCTTTCCGATTGGATTCTAACTGAGATAGTATCAGATATTGGGAGTGGTCCCAGGCAACACACCTGAAATGGGATACTGAGACTGGGAGGCTCATCTGCTTAACCTTTAATATGGCGATAACTTCTTTAGAGATGGAAACAGAAATCATGGTATTCCGTGACAGTCAGAGGCATTATGGACATAGCGCAAACACTCTTCATAAATATTTTCTCTCTTTTTTATTTGCTAGCAATAATCCTAATCATAAACTAGGATAAAACCTAATTATTCTCCTGGAATAATAAGTTAAATTGTTCCTTTTTAGTAACACTGTCTCCAGTTCTATTCACATATTATACATTACTGCACATTTTCAATCATATTTTCCTCAAAGTTTCAATAAGAAAAAAAAAAATCTCTTGGGGAGTTTACTAGTAAGATGGTGATGTGAGTGAATACTTTTGCACAAACACAATCATAACCAGTGTCTAATAGAAAAAGGACAAAACCGGTGAAAAGACCAGAAGCTTGGAGTAATGCCATCCCCATGTTAGAAAGGCCCACCAAGTTTTGCATAAACAGAGCAGGTGGAACTAATCTTAAGGGGCCCTACAGGATGGATGCAAAACTCTCCATTCTATGAAGGAGACAGATGCTATAAGAAAAGCCAACCACCACTGATGCTTCTCAAAATCAGGAGCAAATGAACCCTCAGGCAGAGAGTACACTCCGGGACTGGTCTAGCGGGGCTTCCTCCCTCAGCAGATGCTACCTTCTTGACCCCAGACCCACTATCCTTAGTTCAGGTTCCCTCAGAAGCAGACCTTGAGTGAAGACAAGGGGCAAATGATGTATTCGGAATTGTGCTCAGGAGGAAGCAGTAAGAGCAAATGAGAGGAGGGAGGATAGGAAAAGAGAAAAAGCCAAGCAAGCCTACAAATCCAGGGAAAGTTGTAGTTTCCACCCCATCTTGTGGGTAAAACTGGAGCATGAATTACAACTTAAAATTTGTCCAGACTTGAGATGCAGTAGCTAGGCCACTGTACCCTCCATACTAGTCACACCTGAAGAGTGAAGGGAAGGTAAAAAACTGCCAAGTGCTTACCTGCTCTCCCCAGGAATGAAAAAGCTTCTTTGTCTAAGGACAAGCTACAGAGGATCTCAAGTGTGAGCTGTCTTTAAAGAGATATTGTGAAGGAAAATCTCTGCCTTACATTCAAAATTATATCAAAAAATAAGTATCAGCGGTAGGATTACATAAAAGCATGCTTCAGTATCATCTCACACAGATGGGATTTGGGTAGAGATTAACCAACCCAATGTCATTCCTAACCCTAGATAAAGTTCAGACATAAGGGTTTCCCTTTCTTTTAACCACCATTAAAATAAAATCAAATGAGTACATTTCAAATCACTAAAATAAGAAAAGGGTTAGCCATATAGTGGAATACGTGGGGAAAGAGCAAGCACACATGCAACTATGGGCTGAGATATTTGTCAGACATTACAAGGGTGCAGAAGTGGGGATGGGGACCCAGGGGAACAGGGTGGGGACCAGCAGTGCTCACAGCCCTTCCCACCAGCTGGTAGATCTGACTCTAAAGCAGGGTCAGTGTGGAATTATCTTTCTTTCCTCTTCTAAAGGGAAGAAATTGTTCACATATCACACTAATTTCCGAAAGAAGAACATTCCAGCTACTGCTTGTATATAATATTGAGGAAAACAAAACTCTATCTATAGAAATAAAATGATAATTCTTTGACAATTACTGATTGATATTAACAACAAAATTGAGAACAATACTAAACTAATAAAATGAAAGCAACTGATGATAAAGAGGGAATAATATGGAATCAGTAAAGAATGTGGCCAAATTAAAAATACAATGGGAACATCCAATTTAAGATGAAATCATTAAAACAATTCACTCAGGCAGCAGAAGACAGATTGGAAAAAACATAAAGTTTTCAGATACGAAGGATGAAAGAATTAGAGAAATAAAAAACATGGAGGACAAAGGAGTTAGATCCAATCTAAATATTGTAATTAGCAGGTAAAAAAGAACAATAAATAATTACATAAAATTTACTTGAGGTGAATTAAGGCTCAACTAGACCAAGCAAAAATAAACATAGAAAAAATAGTATCACGGAGAAGAAAAAACAGTCCCAAAGTACACAACAAAACACAAACAAATTAAAACAGATTTCTTACAAATGAAAAAAAGTTAAAATACTTCAGACACAAATGAGAAGTTTCTAAGGCATTTTTGCTTTTTTGTAGGGGGAGAACTATCATGACTTCACTAATTTTACTTGACCAGGTTGTCTCATCCCCAAAAACATCATTCTCAGGTATGAAAAAACAAAACATAATCCTCAGGTTTCCTTGATTTCCAAATTATTAAACATATAAATCAACCCATACAGATGAAAGAAAGAGCAGATGAGTTGTGACACTAAAGGAGTTGTACTGAATATTAAAATAATCTAACCAGGGGTTAAAATGAGTGTTAAAATATTGATTAAACCATGTAAATGTAAAAATCTTTAGAGAGATACTGTGAAGGAAAATCTCAGCCGTACACTCAAAATTATATAAAAAAATAAGTATCAGCGGTAAGATTACATAAAAGCATACTTCAGTATCATCTCACACAGATGGGATTTGGGTAAGTAGAGATTAACTAACCCAATGTCATTCTTAACCCTAAATAAAGTTCAGACATAAAGGTTTCCCTTTCTTTTAACCACCGTTAAAATAAAATCAAATGAGTACATTTTAAATCACTAAAATAAGAAAAAAGTTAGCCATATAGCGGAATACGTGGGGAAAGAGCAAGAACACATGCAACTATGAGCTGCAATATTCTTCAGATATCACAAGTCAACCCCTTATAGCTTATTAAATGACTTGAGGACAGTCTCATGACTTAACATTAAGGTGCATAGCTATTTATACAATTCAATGTCAACTTTATAAAAATAAATCATATGCACATAGAAAACAGAAACAACACCAAGCCATTTAGCTTTCTCAGTACAAGAATTATGAGTAATTATTTTCATTACGTTTTTATATATCTGAAATTATCAGAAAATATTTTAAACATTGATTTTTTTCTTGTCTAGCATTGAATCAGTTAGAATATGTAATTATATTATGTGTTGATTAATTTAAATACAATGTATTATGTAAAGATGAAAAACAAGTGACTAACTTTAAAAATGAAAGGCATTCCTGTATTTTATAAATTTGAAAGAACAAGCATGTTTCCTATGTGAAAACAAACAGTACATGTATATTCCCTGATATGCCTAAAAAAAAAAACCGTGCAGACATCACAGTAACATGTGTGGCAGATTAAAGATGGCCATGATTTCACGAGGTACTGTCTATGGTCCTGTCCCTTGATTCTGGGTGAGCTCTTCAATTGCTTTGATTAACAGAATACAATGAAAGTCTCACTATGCCTTTTTCTAGTAGCTTCTACATCCTGTCTCTAGCAACACTTGCATTTGCATCCCAGTACCATGGTACAGGAAGCCCAAGCCACATAAAGAAGCTGTGTGTCGGACAGGCACTCTAGCCAAAAGCCTCGACTGAGTGCCGAGATGACACCTCCATCAATTGCTAGTCATTTGAAAGTCCAGCAGCATGTGTATCCAACCCAGTGAAGCCTTGATTTGGCCCCAGTCTCACCCACATGCCACTGCAAATCATGGGAAATTCCAGGCAAGAACTGCCCAAAGAACAGTGAGAGGTAAGTTTTTTTAAGCTTTTAAAATTTGAAGTAGATAACTGGAACAATATAAGAAGATACAAGTGTGTGTGTGTGTGTGTGTGTGTGTGTGTGTGTGTGGTAGTAGGTAGGCAAAAAACTTTTTACGAAGTAAATTTTGGCATGACTAATAATAGCGGTCCTGTTTTGTAAACAGCTATCAATTGAAATATAGCAACATTGCCCCTTAAAGATTCAGCAAAAAATTTATTATTATGATCTCCATTTTCAAAGACAGAAATACATTGAATTAAAATTGAATCCTAGAACCAAAGAGAGAATAATTAAATCTAAGGACAACCAAATATATATATATATATTTACTATATATATATATGCAAGTTTCTACTATATGCAAAGTAGTCTTTTTTTTTTAATGTTTGTGTCTCAGAAACTTGTCAGTTTCTGAAAATGTAAAAAACGAAATGTTATGTTTCTGTTTCCGTAAGTTATATTGGCAAAACCATCTTTCATAGAACACAGTTTCTTTAAATACCATTATCAAGATATTTAGCACTTATGCTCAGAATTTACAAATGAATACGCATTTTGCTTAAGGCATAGTGCACAGCTAATTAATATCCAAAATAATAAAGAAGGAAATAAAACTAACCTGGGCCATTTAAATATTGTGTAAGTGAACAGTGTAGTCGAACAATTATAGGTTCTGTTCGAATTACTTCCCAAGCCACAGCAATCTCCTCCTGCACAAATATATTTAAAAGATGAATTAATCATCTTTTAGAGTTCAAAATGAAAAAAAGACAAACTTTTAAAACCTGCGTTTGAGAAATGCATATATCATGAAGGCCTATAAATTATCTGAAAAGCCACTGTGTATGAAAATATTGGCCTTCTTCCCCTTCCATGAACACTCCCTTCGTGGAAGCCATCTTTCTCTCTCCTGGATTTCCCCTCTGGAGTCCCCTTCCACACTCTCTCGTGGAAGCCTGTCTTCTCCTCCTAAACTGCATCTCTCTCTGTTCCCTAACACTCTCGTGGAAGCTGCTTTCCTCTCCTGGATTCCATCTTTCTGGATTCTCTCACTCAGTGTGAGAGTTAGCTGTTTCTTTCTCTCTCCTTCTCCTGTTTCTCTCTCTCTTTAAATAAATCACTTTCTACAAACACACACAGACAAAAAGAAAATATTGACCTTCTATGTATGAGAACTAAAAATGAAACTTAAAATATAGTGAAGTACTATAAAAGCCCACAAATTTCAGAGTATATTAGAAGAACCAAGGCAAATATATATACATATATTTACAAAATCTCTGCTTCTTTCACAAGTCACAGCAATTCTTCACAAAGCAACTTAACAGTCAATATATAACTAATAGTATAAGCCAACTGAAAATTAAATTTCCCCCAAAATAAAATAAGTGTGTTTTAAATGCACCATTCATATTACATAAAATTGATACTTACATCAAGAAAGCTAACATCAATATGCAGATCAATATCTACATCATCAATGGCTCCATATTCCCTGAAAGCAAAGATTAATATTATTTTTTCATTTTAATGATACTTAGAAGATGGTACATGTTGGGTTATTTTATTTAAAACTTTAAATCACTAATTCTCATCCTTGATTTTGACAAATAGCTCACACCTAACTGTGGATATGAAATAACTAAGAATCTAGTTGGACTGTCATTTTTCTGTTTATACCACATAGATATCTTTCTATTGTCTTGTACATGCACATGCATACATAAAATCAAGAGTTGCTTGGTTCGTTGTTTTAAATATTCCCTGTTTTCTGTGGTAAATTAGTCAGTCTTTCCATATGGCTGCTTTGTTTTCACTACACTCTCTGAGGATAAACAGCTGCTTCTAAAGGCAAGAGAGGTGTTTATGACATAAGGAAGGAGTGTGGAAAAGACACACAATAATGTGCCCATAATTTTTCCTTCTAGTTGGGCTTCAGTGGTTCAGAAATCAATCCAAGTGTTCTGCCACTTAAATGTCAGTGTTTTGGCTGGGCGCAGTGGCTCAAGCCTGTAATCCCAGCACTTTGGGAGGCAAAAGCTGGTAGATCATGAGGTGAGGAAATCGAGACCATCCTGGCTAACATAGTGAAACCCCATCTCTACTAAAAATACACACACAAAAATTAGCTGGGCGTGGTGGCACATGCCTATAGTCCCAGCTACTAGGGAGACTGAGGCGGGAGATTCACTTGAACCTGGGAGGTAGAGGTTGCAGTGAGACAAGATCATGCCACTGCACTCCAGCATGTGTGACAGAGTGAGGCTCTGTCTCAAAAATAAAATAAAATAAAAATAAATAAATGTCAGTGTTTTGAGAGACAGCTCTAAAAGTCTGATATTAAAAAAATAAAACAAGTAACTGTGGTATATTCCACAGGCAGAAATGATGAAGACCAACTTTTGTACAGCCCAGGTACTGCCATGAACCAGCATAACTTTAAGTGAATGAAAGAATATAAAAACAAGTTTTCATATTCTCCATATATACACATCTATATATTTTTTATATTCTTATAAAATTCCGAAGATATAAATACTATGCATAGTGAGAGATAAAAACCACAGAAATAACTGAAATGCTAAAAGTTAATGACCAATATTTACTCAGCACTGATGTGCCAGAAATTATTCTAAAGATCTTACATACATGAGATAATACAGTACTCACAAAACACTAAAGGTACCACTGCCATCTCCACTTTACAGATGCATAAAGTGAGGCCTAGAGTACTAAAGTAACTTACCCATCACCACTCTATAGCAGAGCTGAGACTTGAATACATGTATTTTAGTTAATATTAAAGAAACTAGCACTTTGTGTTAGAAATCAGGTCAAGCATTAATGGATGATCTCATTAAGTCCTCATCATAGCCTTGTGAGGTGGATAGTATTACTACATTCATTTTGCAGATGAGAACACTAAGATTTAAAGATGTGAAAAAGGTTGCCAAATGAAAAATAAGATAGTGGGGTAGTCAGGCATTGAATGTATGTCCAACTCAAACTGTAAAGTACAGTATCTGGCATATAGTTAAGTTATCATTAAGTATTTATGTCTATTATGTATTCAAGTAATATAATTATATATATAATTGTGGCACTTTTATGGAGTTCAGAGAAGAAACATTTAATGATTGAATAATTTCACGTGATTTAATGAATAAAGGAATCTAGGGATCTTTCTGCTTCCTAATACATACGACCAAAGACTGAAGCATATTAGAATATAAAGCAGCTTCTGTGCTGTGTCCTTTCTCTCCACTAAAAATATATTAAAACATTGAGCACATTTTCAACTTTTATGAAATTATATTCTTATTCTTTTATGGTAATATCTTTAAATGTTACATAAAAAAGGATAAAAATGATTTGCATAGGTATTAGTTCTTAAAAACCATCAAAGCATCATAAGATCTGTGCTTTGCAAACTATTTTCAAACTATTCTAAAAATTAGAAGAGGAAGGAATTCTTCCTAACTTGTTTTATGAGGTCAGCACTACCCTGATACCAAAATCAGACAAGGAAACAACGATAACAACAAAGAAAACTGCAAGCCGGTATTTCTGATGAACACAGATGTGAAAATCCTCAACAAAATATGAGCAAACTGAATTCAATATCACATTTTAAAAATCATGTACCATGGCCAAGTGGGATTCATCCTAAAGAGTGCAAGATGATTCAACATATGCAAATCAATAAACATGATACATCACATTAATGGAATCATGAAGAAAACATTATGATCATTTCAACAGACAGAAAAAGCGTTTGAAAAAATTCAACATCACTTCATGATGAAAACTCTCAACGAATTAGCTATAGAAAGAACATAACACAATATATTTACAAACCTACAGCTGACATCATATTGAATAAGGAAAAACTCAATGCTTTCCTCTAAGATATGGAACAAGACAAGGATGTCCACCTTCACCACTCTTACTCAAGTCAGTACTGGAAGTCCTAGTCAAAGAAATAAAGGATATCCAATTAAAAAAGGGGAAGTCAATTTGTTCCTGTTTGTGGATGACATGATCATAAATATAGAAAACTCTACAGACTCCACCAAAAAAACTGTTAAAATTAATAGCCAAATTTAATAAAATTGCAGGATACAAAATCAACACACACAAAAAAATTAGTAGTGTTTCTGTACACCAATAATGAACTAGCTGAAAAATAAATGAAAAAATTCTTATTTACAATAACTATAAAAATAAAATATATATGAATAAATTTAACCAAGGAGGTGAAAGATTTCTGCAATCAAAAATATAAAACATTAATATAAAACATTAATGAAATAAATTGAACAGGACACAAAACATGAAAAGATAATTGCTTGTTCATGGATGGAAGAATATTGTTAAAATATCCATACGCCAGCCAAAGCAACCTACAGATCCAATGCAATCCCTGTTAAAATATAAATGATGTTCTTCACAGGAATAGAAAAAACATCCTAAAATTCACATGAAACCACAAAAGACCCCAAATAGCCAAGGCACTGAGCAAAAAGAACAAAGTTGGAGACATCACGCTACCTTACTTCAAAAGGTACTACAAACCTATAGTAACCAAAACAGCATGGGACTGAAATAAAAATAGATACGTAGACCAGTGAAACAGAATAGAGAACACAGAAATACATCCATATACTTACAACCAACTGATTTTCAACAAAGGCTCCAAGAACACACCTTGAGGAAAGGACAGTCTCTTCAATAAATGGTGCAGGGAAAACTGTCCATCCACATGCAGAAAAATGAAACTAGACCCCTATCTTCAAATACAAAAATCAGCGTAAGTGGATTAAAGATTTAAATGTAAGACCCCAAAATATAAAATTACTGGAAGAAACCATAGGGGAAATGCTTCATTGCATTTGTCTGGACATGGATTTCTTGAATAATAATTCAAAAGCACTAATAACAAAAGCAAAAATAGACAAATGGGATTACATCAAACTAAAAAGCTTCTGCACACCAAGGAAACAATCAATGGAGTGAAGAGACAGCCTACGGAATGGGTGAAAATATATCTGCAAGCTGTGCATCTCATGAGGGGTTTATACCAAGAATATATAAGGAACTCAAACAGTTCAAGAACAAAGACAAACAAACAAACAAATAATCTGATTGTAAAAGGGGCAAAAGGCCAGGCTTGGTGGCTCATCCCTGTAATCCCAGCATTTTGGGAGGCCAAGGCAAGCGGATCACCTGAGGTCAGGGGTTCAAGACCAGCCTGACCAACATGGAGAAACCCTGTCTCTAC